CTATCTGTTAGCTCTCAGCTTCAAATAGCTAGGTCCAAGTTGAGCAGTACTTTCATGACTAACAGGACATCCTATTTCAACGCAGGTCATCTCTGCGAGGGATTCACTCAGTTAACTGTGTTGCCTTACCCAAATTGCAAGGGACAGAGGTCCAACATGTGATAGCAGACTTCAAAGTATTATGCAAAAAATTTATGTATAATGTAATATCATATAATCACATATATGTGATATATATGTAATGATATGATATATACTATTATATACATGTAATGATATAATCATTAGCAAGTCAAGCAGTACAGGGGACTGGCAGTTAGTCCAACATTTTCATGTCCTGAGACTACAATGTTCTCCCATTCCAAGTGGGAATCGAGAGTTCATTTTGATCATATCACTTTCTAAAAGGTAAAATCAAGGACCAGGTTACCACACACACTAAGAATAAAATGTTACATACTAGTTATAGAAGATGCCTACTTCATTCATTTCTTTTCATGTTCTTCCAGCGTATCAGAAGGCAAGATCACCTGATAAAACACTAAAAGGATAAGAAGATAATTCATTTAAGGAAATACAAAAATAAATTTTAGCATCCATCTGCCTTATCTGCTGTAGGGATGCTACTTCAAGGGAAAGCATCTTTGCTTCTATAGCATCAACAAAATAGCTAGCATGGCTTGTCCACTGGTTATCAAACTATTCTGAGCAGCTCTTTGGAGGAAATCACCCAGGAGTTCTTTCAGGAATAAGAAGAAGTCCAAGAAGGGAGGCCTCCCAGGCTCACATCATAAAGCTTCAAAGCCTCAAAAAGAACAAACCATTTCCAAGTAACTGAAGCCTAAAACAAAGCTCAAGAATATTTGTAGAAATACAAAAATATCCAGTACTCAACAAGGGAGAATTCACGTCTGGCATCCAATCAAAAATTATCAAGCATTTAAAGATGCAAGAAAACAGAATCCATAATGAGGGGAAAAATTGATCAATACACACAGGCCCAGAAATATAACATAGATGATAGAATTAGCAGATAAGGACATTAAAACAGCCAGTTGTTAAACCTGTATTCTGTATGTTCAAGAAGATAAAAGGCAGATTAGACATGTGAAAAAGAGGCATGGAAAAAATTTTATTATTAAAAAGACACAGCAAACTTCTAAAGAGACACATAACACCTAATTTGAAACGTACACTGGAGAGGATCACAGCATATAAGACACTGACAAAGAAAAAAAAAACTTTAAAATATAGAAAATAATCAAAATGAAATATACAGAAAAAAGACTGGGGAAAAAAAAGAACAGCATCAATGAGTTGTTGGGATAATTTCAAGCAGCCAAATTTATGTAAAATTGGAATCCCCAAAGGGAGGGATTCAGAAAAAATACTGTAAAAAATGTCTGATAATGTTCCAAATTTAATAAAAAAATATAAACACAAAGATCTGCAAATTTCAAAGAACCCCCAAACACAAGATACATGAAGAAAACTACACCAAAGCACACTGTAACCAAATTCTGTAAATCAGTGATGGAGAGAAAATCTTAAAAGCAGGCAGAGAAAAAAAGATATTATATAGAAGAATAAAGAAGGAGAATGACAGTATACTTCCCCTCTGAGAATGCAAGCTGGATGCCAGCCAGATAGCAATGGAGCAGCATATCTAGTTCATTGAAAGAAAAAACAAAGGTGAGCCTAGAATTCTATAACCAGTGAAAATATCTCTTATAAAGTGAAGGCAAAATAAAAACTTTTTCAGACATACAAAAGCTGAAATAATTCATCACCAGCAGACCTACATTATAAGAAATGTTAAAGGAAGTCCTTCATGTAGAAGGAAAATAATCAACACAAAATAATGAAGAGTACTAGAAATAGTAAATACGTTGTTAAACATAAAAGACATTTATCTACTTTTTAAATATCTTTAACAGATTATTGGCTATTTCAAACAAAAATAGCATTGTATTGAGCAGTTCATACATAAGTTGAAATACAATGTACAAAAATACAAAGGAAGAGAGAGATGAAATAAATTATATCATTGTAAGATTCCTTTTTTGTTTGTTTTGGTGGCTGGGCATATGGGGATCTGAACCCTTGACTTTGGCGTTAAAACACTGCATTCTAACCAACTGAGCTTACTGACCAGACCTGTTGTAAGATTCTTATATGTTAAGTGGTGTATGAATTGAAGTTAGACTGTGATATGTTAAGGATGTATACTATAAATGGTAAAGCAACCATTATAATAATAGCAACACAAGAAAGCATTATAATATATACTGCAACAAAGGATACAAAGTGAAATCACAGAGCACTATTCAGTTAATACAAAAGAAAGAAGAGGAAGAAAACAGAAACATAGAACAATTCAGATAAACACAAAATAGAAAGATAGTAGATTTAATGCCAACCATATGGACAAACACATTAAATGTAAATGGTCTAAACACCCCAACTAAAAGGCAGAGATCATCAGATGGTATAAAAATGCATGAATCAACCATATGTTGCCTAAAAGAAATCCCCTTTAAATACGGAGATACAAATAGGCCAAAATTAACAGGGTGGATGCAAAAACATATACCATAGCAATACCAATCAAAATAAATTTGCAGCAGCATTATTAAAATTAGACAAAGTCATCTTTAGAGCAAAAATAATAGGGTTATTTTATAATGGGAAAACAGTCAATTCACCAAGAGGACACATGAGCATTAAATATTTATGCATCTAATAACAGCGCTTCAAAATACATGAAACAAAAACTGATGGAACTATAATGAGAAATAGACAAATCCACAATTACAGTCAGAGATATCAACACCCCTCTGTTAATAACTGATAGGAAAAAACACACAGAAAATGAGTACAGATATAGAAGACTAAAAAAACTACCAACCAATGTGACTTAACTGACATTTACAGGACACTCCACCAAACAACAGTAGAATATAAATTCTTTTCAACTGCATATGGAAGGTTTACTAAGATAGCACATACTTTAGGACATAAGACAAGTCTCAACAAAATAGAAGACTAAAAAAACTACCAACCAATGTGACTTAACTGACATTTACAGGACACTCCACCAAACAACAGTAGAATATAAATTCTTTTCATCTGCATATGGAAGGTTTACTAAGATAGCACATACTTTAGGACATAAGACAAGTCTCAACAAATTTTAAAGGATTCAAATTATACAAAGTATGTTATCTGGCCAGAAAGGAATCATATTAGAAATTACTAACAGAAAGATATAGAAAGTCCCCAAACATTTAGAAACCAAATAACATAAATGACTCTTGAATCAAAGAAGAAATTAAAAAGGAAATTATCCAGTATTTTGAACCAAAGTAAAATAAAAAACCAAAATATCAAAGGTTGGGGATGCAACTAAAGCAAAACTTAGAGAAAATTTTATTACTAAACACCAATATTGGAAATGAAAAAAAGTCTCCAATCAATGATGTCAGTGTCCCCTTCCTCTGCCTCACTTCCCCCTGCCCCTCCCTCTAATAACCATAGATTTGTTCTCTCCATCTGATAGATGAACTGTTTCTATGCTGGTTTGTTGCCTAGATAATCTGTCCAGTACTGAGACAGGTATGTTCAAATCCTCCCCTATTATCATAAATCAGATGCTTCTTCTGTTACTCTGGAGTATGCTTTGTGGAGAGAGAGGACCCCTTCTTATTTACATTTTTTTGTTTTTGCTGGTGGCTCTTCTTGTGTCAATGCAGTTGAGAGTCTGGCATGCCATCTGCACGGTGGCTGTGACTGCTGCTACAGAGACTAGCCATTTTTCTGAGGTATGGAGCCAACAGAAGCCAAACCCAGCAGTAACCAGATAAAGAGCACACCAAAAACACCATTTCCACGTGGGTAGCTCACCACAGTCACTGCAAAATTTTCTTAGTTTTATTTTCCAGTACGGTAAATATATACCTATGTAACCAGTGGTGTGCTAAGGCAGAATGGCACCAGCTCACAAGAGCCAGTTTTGCACCTCTATTTCCACCTCTGTCTAGGGGCGTCGTGTTGATAGCTTGAACTTGGCCATCATGAAGTAATCACACCAAAGAAATCAGCAAATGCTACTATGAAATTGGCTTTTTCTCAGACAACTGGTTGTTAAACAATTACCAGCCCACCTCTAGCTATAACATACATAAACAAAAACTTACTGAAGTCTTTAATTTTTAATTGTGCAAAATAGGATTCTGAAACCAGAAAGTCTGAGAACCACTCAGCTCGGTGGTTATCTAGGGAGTTAGAAAGCGTTATTAGGGAGAAAAGCAAAATGAAAAAGATGACATTTTTAGATACTCAATCCTATCAAGAAAACCTTTTGCAGAGATTCATACTAAGCTGCCTTCACCAAATGCCACCACTGCCATTCTCCCACGGGGCTCACTGTTTACCCAGTCTTTCCCCTAAGACCAGGAGAGCCTGGAATTGAATCATTCACTTCTTGAATTTGAAGAGCCCAAAAGTTGCTAGGAAGGGAGGGGCTGCCACCTCCTCTGGCAAACACCAAAGATCCATCAACTTGCTTCCCACAGCTACACATGGACCAAACACTATAACTTTAAGGTACTGCTTGGAAAAGAATAACACAAGCCCAAGTTTTCTAGATAATGAATTCTAACTCCAGCAAGTGGGATAAGAGGTTCATGACACAAATATATTTGTATTAGGCCAATCAACCACCAGAACACCAAGATCTGATACTTTTACCAAATGCTTGGAGGCAATTTAAGTATGGAAGAAGCTCCAGAGCCAGCCCCTTCTCCTCCTGCTCTTTGATGCCAGCCTGTGTGCCAGCCTTTTATCACTATTTAATAGGGTGTGAAGAATGGCAGTGCGCTGATGCTCCCTCATCTCAACAGAGCTCCCAGGAAAGGAAAAGGCTGAAATTAAAAAAAAAAAAATGGATCTCCATTAAAGAATTCAATACGAAGTAGATTATTTATTTGTTAATTTATTTATTTTGCAGCTGGTCAGTATGGGGATCCAAACCCTTGACCTTGGTGTTATAACACTGTGCCCTAACCAACTGAGCCACCAGAGTTGATTACGTTGCAGAATCATATCTTCCTGTTTCGTGACATGTTAGAAACACAAATCTTAGGGCTTTTTCACTTCCACTGCATAGAGGTCTGATCGCTTCTGTCTAAAAATGGGGATTTGCTGGCGTATTTCAGCCAACTTCTTCAGGTCTGCAAAAACAGGAAAGTGCACTATTAATAATTTGCAACTCCTCACTAACCAAGGAGATTTTTTTCCCCAAACTGTAAAAACCACCAGAGTCTCAGCAAGTAACTCAGTAACACAGGCCTTGTCTAGGTGCAAGACGGCCTGGCACTGGACCTGGAGTCACTGCAAACCAAACCAAGAAAACTCAAGCTTAGCTGCAGCCCGCAGGGACTGGTTGGAGAACCAGACCCTAGAATATCCTCAAGGATAAATGAGGAGGGGTGTGAAGGAGCCCTTCCAGGTGACAGGGCTTTCATAGTTATGAAATCTGGCCTCAGAGCAATAGGGACCCACAGACCTAAACTGTGCTGAGCAAATCTTACCTATGTCTGAATACACGATCGTTTCTTCAGTTCCAGCTTTGGCTAGGACTTCCCCCCTGAAAAAGATTCAGGGGAGAATAAGTGGATTCACTGATGTTTGGTGATATTCAAGATCTCTAAGTTTTTCCTCCCCATCTCTCTCACAAGCCAAAGGGGAAAGAATCTGAGACTGAAAACAAGAAGGTAGGGGTATAAATTCCTGTTCGATCATTTAAGGAGCCACAGGACCTTATGGCAAGTCATCTGGAGTCTCCATTTTCTAATCTATAAAGTAGAAATAAGAGCTTCATGAGGGTGTAGTGAGAAAATTATGGAGTATATTTTGTAAACTGCTAGGAAATAGTCGTTATTCTATAATTATAAACATCTGGGACTAGAGCTACCTATAACCAACAGGAGGCTCCGTCCTGTCCCCACATAAGCACACTTCCGTGAGACGCCTTCACAAGCTGTCTACATCTGCTCTGGCCCACCCGGGCTGCTAACCCACCTGAGGGGATGAGGCTGAGTCTGGGCAGGTCTGCTGGGATCTCTGCCCATGTGCCTACGATCCTTGGATCCTAAGATAATAGGTTTCAGTTTCAGATTTCAGGGAAAGATTTCAACTTGTGGGATCTGGGTAGAAGTGGTAGGGGACCAATACGCTGGCAGGAGCCCCACACTAGGAAACAGCAATACTCTTCATGTATCCAGGGGAAGGCTGAGCTGGAAAACGATCTCCAGGGCTTAGTCTCTTGGCCCAGAGTAGGGGTTCAAAAATAGGTCTACTGAAATGGAAGTTCTCCAAAGTCATCTGACATAAACAAACTGATATAATAACTGGTTCTGCTTACCGGATAAACAGACTTTTGGCACAAATGAGCTACAAACACCACCATTAATGCTGTTTAACTGAATTCCTTTCTGTTCTTTTCTAATTTTTCTAATTCTTGCCCATTATCCCTGGCATTCAAAGATCTTTATGTTAACCCTAGGCACCTTCAAACCCTGCAGAAGGAAAAATGAAGGCAAATCATATACAACTACCTCGTTTCAGAAGCAGCCAGCTCGATCAGTAACAGAGTCCCCAGGAGAACTGGCTATGCAGCAGAGCTGCCCGAGAGGCAGAGGCCAGGACGCCTATCACTAGCAACCAGACAGAAGAACTTGAAGCAAGTTCAAGAACATTTTCAAGGCAACTTAACCTTCCCAGTCCTCAATGCCCTCAAACCCTAATGGACAGGAGGATCACTGAGACTCGGTCACTAGTCATCTCTTCCAAGGCCTCCCCATCACATATATTGAATTCTGGGTCCTTTAAAGTCAGAAGAGAGAACCTTGTGGGACCCTGTAGTGATATTTAACTCTTCTCAGTCTTAACATTGGTATACTTATTCAGAAATTGCAGAAGTACATACAGAAAAGTAGGCTGGCCGGTTACCTCAGCTGGTTAGAGCACAGCCTTATAACACCAAAGTAACAGGTTCAGATCCCTGTATTGGCCAGCCGCCAAACAATAACATCAACAACAAAATCAAAAAAGTAATATAAAAAACATCCAAGTTCTTTTTTTTTTTTTTTAAAGATGACCGGTAAGGGGATCTTAACCCTTGACTTG